AAAGTACCCCAAACATACCCCAAGAAGGCAAAACAATACTCCAAAAAATAGTCCCCAGACTATTTTTGGACTATTTGTTTGGACTATTTTTTGGGTATTTTATATTATTTTTCGTCAACAATCCCCCTGTAGGGGGACAGGCCCGACTTAAACGTAAGACTCGGTTTGACCTGACGTGACGGGGCTGGCAGGAAAAAAAAACAGACTCCAGCTGACATGTGACGCGAGCTCCCGCTGCAACGAAAACTGGACCGCCAAAACGCAGGATGGGCACGGCAGAAAGCGTCAGCAAACACGAGCTCCAGCGAACTCAAATCTCGCGTTTCCACGAAACTGACGAATGGAAGGGGCTGCCGCTTCCTCTGCCGGCCCGGGACCGTCGCACACGACACAGGATGAGAGGCCAGCCCTGGGGAAGGGGCCCAGAACTCCGAGGAGCTACGCTGTGGAAGAATCAAGGCGTGGACTGGCTCAAGAGGGATCCAGCGATACAGTCGGGGCGTTGACCTAAGGAACCCTAAATAAGGAACGAGGCCCCTATTTTCCATAGGTTGAACTTCGATTCCGCATCGAAAACCTAAGAAGAAAATCCAAGGCAAGCTGCGAAACAATGAAGGAACACGGAGCCCCTCCCAAACGAAAAGGGTTCCTTCTTCAGGGCCCCGACTGCAGGCACCCGACAGCGCATCCGAACGTTCCCGGGTGGGGAGGGCATCGGGCCTGCCGCAGATTTGGACGCCCGAAATGGGTACCGAAAGAATGGGTACCATGCCCAACAGCAAATGTTGTCCCAAACCAACAGCGGCCGCTGTTGGGCAGGCGGCCTCCTGTCTCGAATGGACACAGGCCGCCGCGGCGTGGACAGCGAGCCCTGTTCAGAATGAACAAGATCCGCTGTTGGGCATTGTACCCATTCTTTCGGTACCCATTTCGGGCGTGCAGAGCAGAGGGCACTCCTCGCAAATGTTTCTCGGACCGGCGTCGGACCCCGCTCCCCGCCGCGCGGAGCGCACGCCATGGGGCGGCGCCGGAAGCGCTGCCCGGGCGGCCCAGGCTCCGCCACAAGAGACCTGCGCGCGAGCTCCGAAAGTTCGAGCCTGCGGAGCTGCTGCTTTGAAGGGGCCCCACCAGGACACACGAGTAAATACACACAAACAACAGGATTCCCCATACTCTCCTGTATTTTCTGGGTTTCTTGTCTTCCCCCCCACTTCCCATGTTTTCCCATATTTTCCTGGGAGTGGACGATGAATTGTGTCTGTGTGTTTCTTTCCCTCCTGAGTAGACCTGCCGAGAGTGGCTCGAGGGCCCCCGCTCGGGTCTCCGGCGGCCGCTCGGGACGAGCGCCCCCCCCCCCCCCTCGCCGATCGCCCTCGGCGCGGCAGCTGCTGGCAAGCACCCCGAGGACGGAAAAACTGGCCGCAGAGCCGACGAAAACGTCCGGAGACCTGCCCCGAGATCCGACGTCACGAACAACATGCAGCTTCGAAAAACAACTCGGCCAAAGCAGCCCTGGACCGCACCTCTCCGCGGCGCTGTTCGAGCCGGACCGATCCGCGAGAAAAATCCCAGGGCCAGAAACAAGGCAACATCGGCCGTTGTGAGAAAGACGCGACGCCAGGATCGCAAGGCTTCGTCACACTTTCGGTAGGTGGATCTCTCAAGCTCTCCGCCGCCTCTGGCGGTGCGCGCTGCGAGCAGGAACGCAGCACAAACCACAGGAAAGCGCAGCATCGACAGTGCATATATAGCTCCGCGCGCGTGACCCATGTCAGCGAGCAGGAACACGGCCAGCAAAGCCCCGGGAGAGCGAGGCGTCGACCGTGCAGCTCAGCACTGACACGGTGGTGGCCCGGGAGCCCCCGCGAGAGGTCCACGGGCGCTGCTCCCCCCCCCCCCGGCGCGTGAGGACAGAGGGACGCGCCGAGCGCACACGCCCGACAGGCAGACGCATCAGTGGGCTCGGCTCCTCCTCCGCTTGCCCTCCCCGTGCCCGCGGGGCGCGGAGCCGGGCGACGGCGCCTACGCACGAGCAGTTGAACTCCCCGACGATCCACTTCTCGTCCTCGGGCACGAGAAGGATTGCAAAAAACCGTGGATTGCAAAAAGGTTTTTTTTGCAATCCTGGTTTTTTTTTGCAATCCTGTTTTTTTTTGCAATCCAGGGTTTTTTTGCAATCCTTCGGTTTTTTTGCAATCCTGCGGCCTACGCTAGCAAGCAGCTCCTGGGACGTCTTCGCAAGGGGGACCCAGGGGCGACTTCTTCAGCTCGGATGGAGGGCCACAGGGCCCGATTGAGGGGCCATGGAGCCGGATTTGAGCCGGACTGATCAGGCACGGGACTCAGCAGGCCTGGGCGGGGCGGAACCAGACTGAGCGGGGTGATGCTGGATAAGACAAGCTTTCACCACCGATGCACCAGAGCCGCTGCTGGCGTCTGCCTCCCAAGAGCTGCATCCAGACCGACGCAACCAAGACGGAGGCAAGGCGATGACACTCCCGGGAAGAGGATACACGGGATACTTCTCTCTGAGAGTCGGCGGGTCTGGAGAATGCATCGGGCGGCGCGGCCGCTTCAGAGCGCCGCGGGACTCCCTGGGAGCCTTCCAGAACGCTCTGCAGCGATTTGTCCTCGTCTTGGGCCTGCCCGACAGAAAGTGTGAAGGGGCCCCAGGACACACAAATAAATACACACAAATAAAACTATTCCCAATATTTCCTAATATTTTCTGGGTTTGTGTCTTCCCCCCCACTTCCCATATTTTCCCATATTTTCTGGGGGATCGACAATTCATTGTGTCTGTGTGTTTCTTTCTCTCCTGAAAGTGGCAGTCCAGACTTGAGGCGGACGAGAGGGAGGATAGTTCGCAAAGACGGGGTTGAGCGGCCCAGCTGCCAGCTGCGTGCATCCTGTCGCTTCGGGAGCCACGGGGCTCCGGGAGCGACCGCGTGTGGATTGGCGGGATGCAAATGGGGGGATAAGTCCAGATGGGGAGAGAGGCGCAACCGAGGTACAAATTGTACCTACGCCCCACGGAGAAGGTACAAGTTGTACCGACGCCACGCAAACAAGGTACAAATTGTACTTTTGACAACGTCCGCGACATGTGCGAGGATGTTAACGGGGGGGGAGAAGGTACAATTTGTACTTGCAACCCGAAAAGAAGGTACAAATTGTACCCCAACAAAACGGTACCGGATACTCATCCCCCCATGTCCTGATCCCCCCATCGCCATCCGGCCGAGTGGAGGACAAGGCCTCGCGGCAGCTTTCGGCACTGCCCGGTTAGGCCCCTGTTTGTACTCGATATGCGAGCCCGCGGGAAGCACAGCGAATCAACAATGCTTTGAGAACACTTCACGCGCAATCGAGAACGGCGACCCATCCTGCGGTCATCGACCAGATCAGGAAAGCAGGTCACGGTAATTGAGACTCCCTGTGAGATGAGGTCAGCGTTTTCCTCCATATTCCTTTTACTGAGGTCTGCCTGCACATGTGTACCCCTTTGGGGAAGGAACATGCCGTCGGGTCTCAACATCCCTGACCTAACCCATGTCTTCTAACCAGACGGTTATGACGGATCGTGAATGTGGCTCGACCTTACGTCCAGCGTACAAACGCACTAGTTCTTCGAGCCGCGTCCAGTCGTGGCGACGAGAAGCGTCGTCAGGAGGCCACAAGAATACGAAAAAAAACCCTTGCATCTCTTGCTGCTGGCCGGAGCCAAGGCTAGGCAACCTCAGACCCCCAGCTGACTCCACCCCCCGACCCTCTCCGATCTTCCTCCTCCTGGCGCTGCAGATTGCACTGAGCTTTCTCGCCCACAGTGCGGGACGCCGACCGAATGGCTTGAGCGCGTGCGCGAGTGACCGACGACTCCGAAGGGCGTGCTGCGCAGATGGTGCGGTTTGCAACCCGCGCCCTGGGTGGCGGGCGAGGGCCAACCGGCATCGCATCGGGCAGCCGGATCGGGTCGGAATGCACGTCGGACCGGGCTGCGCCGGCACGGAATCGGATCCAAATCGGCTCGGCTGCGCCGGGATGCTCAGCAGCGCCCATGCAAGCACCGAGCCTCCTCGGATCGCGGAAGTATCGGAAGCGGATCACATCGGACGAGCGCGTGCCACCACTCGCAGAGTACCTGCTCGCACATGGCCGCGATCCGCCGCGGCGGATGCTTTTCTCGGACGCTTGCGAGTAGACGCCTTGCGAGTAGTGGATCGCGCTCGGTGGCAGATGGAGCCTGCCAGGATGAAGGGGCCCTGGGACACACAAATAAATACACACAAATAACAGGATTCCCCATATTTTCCCATATTTTCTGGGTTTTCGTCTTCCCCCCCACTTCCCATATTTTCCTATATTTTCTGGGGAATCGACGATTCATTGTGTCTGTGTATTTTTCCCCCTCCTGAGATGGAGCCTGCCGGGATCGGCCTCGAATCGGATCCAAGAGGGCCCTGCGCGGGCGTGGGCCTCTGCGGAGGCCTCCGCGAACCCCGACGAGAGCAGCGTACGGTGCCCCCCGAGGCCCCCGGCGGTGCACAGGCGCAGACCACACCCCGGCGTGTCTGCACCCGCTGTATCGGCTAGACGTAAGAGTGACCTTTGGTGCGCAGCTTTGGGGGGGGCCGCGGGGGGGTCAAACACAAGCGCGCAAGGCACTACTATCGCATCGCGCTCGGCGATCGGGGGACCCCAATGGGCCCGCACCAAAGGTCACTCCGGCGAACGGCCACTCTTACGTGTAGCCGACTGTAGCCGCCGGAGGGAGACCTCCTCCATTCGGGCACCTCCCGACCCGGGTCTGTGCAGACCCGGGTCAGTCAGGCCGTGAAGATCCTGCAGGATCCTGCAGGATCCTGCGCCCCAGCCCGGGTCAGGGCCCCCCTGGCCCTGCAGGATCCTGCAGGATACGGCACTCGGGCTGACCCCCGTTTGCATTGACCCCCGTCTCATCCTCCCCGTGCATGCCGTCCTGTCTGCTGCTGTTGCTTCTGTCACCGCGACCTTCGAAAATCAAAGCCGCGGCATGGGGCAGGGACAGGCCGGGCAGAGGGGAAGCACGTCTGGCGCCCCTTGAGAGAAGAGTAGGCGAGGTCCTTCACGGGGGTGCCCTTCTCGGAGGCAAGAATAAAGTCACTGGTCCACCACAGCGGAATTGGCTCTTCTGCGAGGCCAAGGGCAGGCATGACCTCCCACCAAGCCCTCTTGTTAAACATCCTACATCGTCCAGGCCGCTTCCGCTCACGCTACCCTTGTGTCTACAATACCTCGTCCGCCCACTCAGTGCACTCCGTCAATCTATCCCTCGCTTCATAATGAACCGCTGAGTTACACAAGCGCGCGGATCCCAAACATTGGTTGATGGTGCTGGGCACTGGCTGGTGGGGCCAGTCCTGGGTCAACGAAGGCCAGTGGCTGCAAGCGGCGTTGGCGAACCCCGGTACCATGAGGGGTCCTGGGGTCATGAGGAGGTACTGTGGACGACTGGCGCTGGCGACAAGCAAGACTGGTGTGGCTAATAGTGTAGCCCCCAGTGGGAGCCAAACGGCAGCGCGGGTGAGATTTCAGCCGTTGGTCAGCTCCGTTGACGGCAACTTCGTGTCATGACGACCCCAGCTTTGGCTTCTGGCACACGTGTGGATCGATCAACCTTGAACGATCGAAGGCTTTTCGATCGCCAGATCGTTCCATATTGTCCTATTATGTGGCCACTGGCGACGTTCAACCTTGAACACCCGCGGCGAGGTCGCTTCCGCGTCGGCATGGCACGAACATACCGTACATTGATGAACTTCGCCAGTTCCAAGCCGTATGAATGCACAAACAAGTCATCAATCGATTTCAGAGTTAGGCTATACATCATGTGTAAGAGTATCCATAGCTAGCATCAGAGTTAACTCATACACCAAGTGTCCGAGCTAACACTTGCCTGGGACGCCTCCGGACACGTGAATCACAATGAACCCGTGCTCTCGAGGCCACAACCCTTTGAAAAATCTACGGATCAGCATTCCCAATACCACGCCCCATTATAACAACGAATGTGTCCGCGCTGCCATTACTACGCTGACCTGTAAACGAACAGTGTGCCCGCGCCTCAACGCCACGAACCGTGGTACAAATACAATCAAACCGTGCTCCCGAAACCAAATACGATCGCACAAGACGTGCTGCGCACACCGAAACTCTTTGTTTGCGGAAGCGCTGCTGCAAGCATCCCTGTACCCAGGAAGTGTTCTAGAGCCTAATGGGCACTTGTTGGGACCATCGGCACCGCTGTTGGGCCTTTTTTTAATGCTCTATGAGGGCTCTACTGGGGCCCGTCTGGCAGCCTCTTGGGGGCCCTCTTTGCGAGCATCGTGAGGGCCTCTTCGGCTCTTGGGCTGCCCTGAAGACCTTTGAGGGCTCCCCTGGGCTGTTTTGTGAAGAGGTAGTCGGAGCGCAGCTGGACAGCTCCGACCCTTTCTCTGGGCCAGAGGGGCAAGGGCAAGTGTGGCAACCACAACTGACGAGAAGTGGACCCGTTCGAGTCAGTAGGGCGGGCATCGAATCATAGGGGCTAGCTAGGTAATGAGAACAAAGGTGATGTTCGTATCATACTTCTTCAGAACGCACATGCAAGATAACTTTGTGCATGCACTGCCTATGAAGCCGATGTGTCTTCATCCAATGAAGATCCGCCTGCCAATCCTTTTGAATATGCACACAATTATGCGGCATTTCAAACTATTGCAACGTCGCCATGCGTGTCAAACATATTTGAATGGAAGGCCCTGAGCAAGGAGCGCCTCGAACACTGGAATGCATGCAATCACACACGCAAAAGTATGAGATGCATGCTGGGAAATGCGAGTCGGATAAAACCAGATCGGATGCGCACGGCAAGCAAACTTTCGAAACTGTCTGCCACCGCGCCGTGACGCGGCGGCAGGTGTGTGTGTGTGTGTGTGTGTGATTGTGTGTGTGTGCGTGTGTCTGTGTGTCGGGCCAATCGTTTTATCAACGCTTGCTTCTTGCACAACAACGCCCCCCTCCCGCCTCGTATCCTGGGCTTTGGTCATCAGGAGCAAACATGTAGCCAACAACGAAACATGCGTTATCACCTTGCGTGGACACCCCCAGCTTCCCCGACCCCTCAGCGCGGTTGCGAATGTGCGCGGCAGCGCTAGTAATTCAAAGTCAGAGCCAGCCTGAGAGCATTAAGCGTGGCGGCTGCGTCGTCTCCAAAAGAAGAGGTGCTGCAGCGAAGCACAAGAGACTGTGCACGCGGGCTGCGCATGCCCAATCACTTGGTGCAGCACGCCCAGCACCGAGACGCCGAGGTCGACCCCTTCCCCTCGTAACCTTGGCCAAGTCCTCCTTCAGGAACCTGTTTGTCAGGGACTCGAACTTCTCCTCCTGCGCAGGGAGCCGCCGACAGCGACCGCGGGGGCAAGACTTAGGTCGGGCATGTCCTCCTACAAGGGAATGTTGAACGGAAAATCAAACATACTAGAGAAACGGCTCTAACATGGTTAAAGAAGTCACCCGACTATTTTGGAGCAACTATTCTCATATATTCCTCCTGTAGAGGGACAAGCCAGACTTAAGGCACGACTCTGGCAAGGTGCCCCTGTCAGGGGACAACCGAGCCGCGAGCCGCCGAGAGGCCAACCGGAGCGGCAGCCTGGGCGTGCCTGCAAGACTCGGGCCCGTCGCAGAGCCGTACAGCCGATCTCTGCGGCGACCTCAGAGGTAAAAAATTCCACCCGCCCCCATGATAGCCAAACCGACTCGCGAAGCCGCTCAGTAAACGCGCCCACAGGAGGAATCGAGTAGGGCAAGGCTGTTTAGTACAGTGGGGCCTCGGCCACAAGAAACCTCCGCAAGAAACCCAACCCTGAAATCCGCGATTTGGTTAATGAACACCCAAATTTGTCGATCGAAAATCATCCAGGTCTTATTGGGGACCCATCGAAGTCCAAGAAACCCAGGGCACCCTGGCAAAATCCAACTGGTTTCTTGGCACGCGCCCCCACAGTAAACGACCAAGGCCGCTTAATAAACGCCAGTTATCGGGTCCAGGTGGTTTTTCCTCCCTTGAGACCTTGAGCCGTACGCTCCCGCGAAGGCAAGGGGAGAGGCGGGCCCGAGCGGCTCCGTCCACGCCGCAGCGGGCAGGCAGCGAGGAGAGTCAAGCCAAGTTGAAGGGGCCCCAGGACATACAAATAAATACACACAAATAAAAATACTCCCCATATTTTCCCATATTTTCTGGGTTTCTGTCTTCCCGCCCACTTCCCATATTTTCCCATATTTTCGGGGGAATCGAAGATTAATTGTGTCTGTGTGCTTTTTTCCCTCCTGCAAAGTGGCGGGGCGCGCGCACGGCGCAGCAGGTCAGAGCAGCCGCAGGGGAACGAACAACGACACAGACAGAACAGCTCGGAGGTCCGCGCGGATTTCTCGGATCGGCGCTGGAATCCCCCTTCCCTGGCGCGCGGAGCGCGCCAGGGGCGGCGCCGGAGGCGCCGCCAGGACCCCCCCACGCTGGACCCCACCATGCGGCGCCTCCCAGTGTGCGGGCGTGCATTTCGCTCCCTTTGCCCGGAAGAGGCTGCGTCCAGATGGAGGCCCACCTGTGAAGGGGCTCTGGGACACACAAATAAATACACACAAATAACAGGATTCCCAATCTTTTCTCATTTTTTCCTGGTTTTGGTCTTCCCCACCACTTCCCATATATTTTGATACATTTTCGGGGGAATGGAGGATTCATTGTGTCTGTGTGTTTCTTTCCCTCATGAACCTGGTGGGGAGCCCCCAGGGCGCCAGCCGGGCCTGCCCTGACAGGCTGCAGCGCCGCCTCGGAGCCGAGGCCAGCCGGAGGCCCTCCAGGTGGAGCCGAGCTCGGCGTCCCGGTCGGGCGGGCGGGGCGGCTCTCCCGCGTCCGCCGGGGCAGCGTGCGCTGCAGCCTCGGCCGCCAGAGGCAGGCGGAGCAGGCGGCGCGCAAGGGGAAGTACGGCAAGAACATGTTTCAAGAACATGAGACCCTCCGCCGACCAAGCTGAAGAACATTCGAGGGTACCCTCGCCCAAGATACGCAAGAACATCCGACAACCACGAAGAACATTAGGGCACCCTCCCCGAACCGACCTCGATCTTATACCTCGGTCCGACCGTACACACGGCACGAGGGCCCGACCCTCCCCGAGACGCGCCGCAAGCTGCACGCACGGCGCGCGCGTGCAGCTTCTCGGCCCAGCGAGTGGGGCGCCCGAGTCCTCCGGGGTGTATTTCGGGTCAAGACGAAGCCGACTTCGCCCTGAACCGAGGTACCCCTGATGATTCGGGGTTCTGGACGCCCGAATTGTCCGGGGCAACTCGGGTTCGGATTCCCGAAAGACGAGCCCGAGTTATCCCTGACCCGAATTACTCCTGATGATTTGGAGCTCTGAGCGAGTGCAGGGGCGCGCGCCACGTGGCCAACTCCGCACCCTCCAGTATCGCCGCCGGCGCTGGCCGAACTCAGTGGACCAGAAAACCAAGAGATCCAACGTATTGAAAAAATCAAGACGGAAAGTTTTCGCAATTTACAGGCTCTGGGGGCCCTCGCCGGGCCCCGGGACCGTCAACAAACGACTCAGGATGAAAAACCGGTGCCGGGGTGGGTCGAGACTTCTGGGGACCCCGTACGAGAAAATCACGACGTCGGATCTCTGGGAACCAAACGACACACCCCCCAGCCTACGACGCAGCGATGTTGAAAGCTCAAGCGCCCGCCCGTGCAGCCTCAATGTGCCATCGCGGAGACCGAGGCATCGCCGACGCCGCCGGCCAAACGGAAGAGCATTCGAGGGCACCCTCCCCCAGGATGTGCAAGAACCTCCAGCACGCACACACACACACGAAGGACACTTGGGCTACCCTTCCCGCGCCGACCTCGACCTTCTACCACAATCCGACCGTGTCTCACAACACAGAGCCTTTTTTTTCTCTTTCCTCAGTATCATCCAGTTCCTCAGGTTTGCTCAAGTGCGTACCGAGTGCATGCTGTCGTGTCCAAGCCTGTCGTCATAACCAAGAATATCCGCACTGCACGACAGTGATGGCCGGTGGTTCCTGTAGTCTATGCAATTCCGTTAGGCTTTCAACCAATCCGAAGAATCATTGCGTGTCCCAGTATCTCTCACATAAGCCAATATTCCGTGATGTCCTGGCCGTTGTTGATAACCTCACAACGCAGAGCCGGAGGAGCAACAGCCGGCAAAAACAGGACTCCTCGGAGGCCCGCACGGCTTTCTCGGATCGGCGCTGGGCCCCCCCTCCCTGGCGCGCGGAGCGCGCCACGGGGCGGCGCCGGAGGCGCGGCCAGGTGGCTCCAGCGCCGACCCACGACATCCGCGGGGACCGTCGGAAGCTTCCGCTTGCGAAATCGTTGGTTCTTCGAGCAGCGGGCCCCTACAGTGGGGGAGTTGACCTAAGGAACCTTAAATAAGGAACGAGGCCCCTTTTCTCCAGAAGTTAAACTTCGACTTACCATCGAAAATCCAAGGAACATCTGAGGCAAAATGCGAAACAATGAGGGAACACGGAGCCCCTCCCCAACGAAAAGTGTTCCTTATTCAAGCCGCTGACTGTATCGCCCTCACGCAGATGAAGGGAGGCCACCGCAAAGGCATGAGCATCACTTCTCCGAGGCCTGCCTCCCTCCTCCAGGAGGCGCGCGGAGCGCTTCCAGGGGCAGCGCCGGAGGCGCCGCCAGGGGGGCCCAGCGCCGACCCACGAAGCCAGCGCAGACCTCAGAGGACATGCTTGTGCCGCCCTCTGCTCTTCGATCAGACCTCCCAGGAGTCGCCTCCTCAGTTGAGTATGCCTGGGGGGGGGGGGCAGGTCTAGAGGATCGGGGCGCAGGGCGCTCGGGAGGCGTGCCACTTTCTTTTTCAATCTGCAATTCCTGTTTGGGGTCAGCTGGCCGCCATGGGCGACGCGCCGACACCTCCAACGTTGCACCGACGACCAGAATAGAAAATTGTCGGGTTCCTGCGTGCAGATCTAGAAAAAAGGCAGGGGACCTGACCCGGGAGCATACTCCTGAGTCCAGGTAAGACGAAGCCAACACACGGACAAACTCTGACCAGGACATGTCCGCCGATCCCCGCCTGTCGGGGGTGAAGAGGCGTGTGTGAGACATTTGACATTTGGCTATCCCCCCTCCCCCGTTCCCCCTCGCCTGGGGTCCATCATGCCATCCTTAGGGGTGGGGGTCTAGGGGGGAGGGCACGAGCTCGTCAACGCAGCCCCAGGACCCTCAAAAAAACCCAAGACAGCCCAACAGGGCCCAGACAGCGCGCCAATACAGTCGAGGAGAGCGTCATGACGGCCCAGGGTAGCCCAACGACGATCCTAGATGGCTTCCCGACGGCCCACGAGCCCCCTAAGACAGCCCAAAAGCGCCTCCAGAGCCGAGGGGGCCCCAAGAGGCCAAAACCATCCCATTCTCTTGGAGCAGCTTACATTTTGAGCACATTCGAATTGTAGATTTTATATTTTGACAGCGAAAACGACGGCGAACACCTGGCCGACAGATCGGCGATGGGCCCCGGACGGCGAACCCGCACCGTCCTGGGCAGGTTGGGGCGATTGGGCCCATATCGGCGATCAGTTGGCGATTGGGGGTCGATGCATCCCCTCCCTATGCGTGTCCCCCCCTGCCGCTGCCCCTGACTGGAGCCTCCCCCAGGGCGACGACCGCTGGTTTCGCCGACAGCTGGTTTCGCCGACCGGCGAAACCAGCTCCGTCGGCGAAGCCAGCTCCGTCCGCGAGACCAGCCGCCGTCGGCGACACCGCCCGACCCGAGCCGCCCGCTGGGGTCCGCTGGGGTCCCTCGCCCTGCTCTGCCGCTGGCCCCCGCTGGCGCAGGAGGAGGAGAGGGAGGAGGAGGAGGAGGAGGAGGAGGAGGAGGAGGAGGAGGAGGAGGAGGAGGAGGAGGAGGAGGAGGAGGAGGAGTGGGGAGGAGGAGGAGGAGGCGGCGGCGCGGGGTCCTCGGGCTTGTAGTAGGTGTACACCGACCCCGTGCCGCTGACGGCCGAGATGCCGCCCTCCTGCGCGGGCGGGCGTGCCGCGCGGGCCGCCGCCCCGCGGCCCCGCCAGCCCCGCGGCCGCCGCCGCCGCCGCCGCCGCCGCCGCCGCCGCCGCCGCCGCGTCGCGCCGCCGTCGTCGTCGTCGTCGTCGTCGTCGTCGTCGTCGTCGTCGTCGTCGTCGTCGTCGTCGTCGTCGTCGTCGTCGTCGTCGTCGTGGTCGTGGTCGTCGCTGTTGTCGTCGTCGTCGTCGCCGTCGTTTTCCAGACCACGGAGGCACCTCGGCGCCCCCACGCAGCTTCGCCTCGTGCGGTGCTCTCCGTTCCACCGCGATCCCACCCCCCAATCTTCCGAAGTAGATGTGCGCCAGGAATGAAAAAGAGGGGGAAAGATCATGTGAGGGTGCGAGATGAGGCAGGGAGAGCACATGGAAGGGAGAGAGAGAGGGAGAGAGGGAAAATATGGGAGCGACGAGGAGAGAAAGAGAGAGAGGGAGAGAGAGAGAAAAAAAGAGAGAGAGAGAGAGAGAGAACAAAAAAACGAGAGAGAGAGAGAGACATACGATCAACCACGCGACGTAGCCGAAAGCTTTCCGCTGGAAAACGCGCGGGGGGGAACCGTCGGCTCGGGCACAGGGGCGCCGCGGCGCTCTCCGCACCCGCGGGGCCCTCCCGGAGGCTCCGCCCGGCCAGGAACCCCGCGGGGGGGGGGGGGGGGAGCCGCGCGGACACCGCCGCCACCCGCGGGAGCCCGCCGACCCCTGGGCGGCGGCACGCCCGGGGCGACGCGTCGCCGTGCCGCCGCCCGGGGGGGTCGGCGGAAATCGGGCCTGTCCCCTTACGAAGAATGATATTCTGGCGGCGCGCAAGAGGGGGTAGGGGGGGGGGAAGGCTACTTAGAAGCGCCCTGCTCCTTAGAAGGCCTCGGCCTTACGTCTACAGGGAAGGCCCGCGCCTTCTAAGAAGCAGGGGTGCTTCCAAGAAGCCTTCCCCCCTCCCCCTACCCCCCTCTGCGCGCCGCCAAATATTTCGGCGGTGGACAGACCTCCCTTTAGCAAACCGCCCTTTTGTGAAAACGGCCTGGGGCCGAAACCGACGGACCCGAACCCGCGAAAATGACGGCCCCGACGCCTTCTCGCGAACCGAAAACGGCCAATTCGCTAGTCGACGTGTCAAGGTAGGAGGTCTACCCACCTCCGAATATTCAGAAACAGTCCGAAAATGGTCCGGGGACGATGTTTCGATCCTTGTTCGGTCATTTGTTTGTCCCTATTTTTTATTCGCCCAAAACACACCTGTATGGGGGACATGCCCGAACTAAGGGTCGGTCCCCCGCCGCTGGGTGCTCGGTGGCACTGGCCCCTTCTTAAGAGAGTGGGGCCGCCTGTGCCAGACAGTGGTCCTGCTTCGACCCTCACCACGGCAAGCAGTGCTGCCGCGCCAGAGTCGACGACGGAACAAACACCGACTTCAGCTCCACGCAAAAGTGGCCCTAGGCAAGAGTGACCAATAATGCGCGGACTACATCCCCGGGCCGAACGTTGTTTTCCTTTTGGACTAAAATCTGAAAGCGCCGATGGATCCAGTTGGATCCCTTTTTCGGCTTGTGGGGCAGCATCGTGGATCCTATTTTTGTTTTGCTCGGATCTAATTTCCCGTGTGTGAAAAGCCGATGGATCCATTCATTTCCCGGGAATGTGTATATATAATAATAGTCATAATAGAAAACATCCCAGACCCAGGGGAAATAGGATCTGCGGGGCACCGCACGCAAAGCGTCGTGCTACTTACCCGTTACGAAAGTTATTCATCTTGAGCACTGACGACTAGGGCGTCTCCGAGTGGCCCCCCCTTCCCCCCGTAGACTCCTAGCGCGGCAGTCTTCGGCCTGGCTCGGCGGGAGAGATGTCCGGGGTTCTCCCTGGTAACATTAATAGTATATAACCAATTCAGGATAAAATCTCGCACCCGTAAATTCACAAGGGAGAAATCACTCCGGGTCACTTCCAGGCAACTCTGAATCTCTCCCCGCATGAAACCACAAGGAAGAATCACTCCCATACCGCTTTCTCACCACAGCGCCCACACATGTCAATTTCAGCCAAGATGAGTTAACTTTCGTAACGGGTATGTATCCACGGAGCTGTAGATCTGCTGACCACAGCTTTGATTCTACGGATGAGGGGGGGTCTTCCCAGAACAGATAGAGAAAGGATGAGGGAAGAGGCACGAGGAGGGGGGAGGAAGGGAGAATGGACGGGAGGAGGGAAAACACAAGAGGAACAATCAGGGAGGAGGGGAGGGAGGAAGAAAAGGGAGGAAGAGAAGGAGGTAGGAGGGATGCGAAGGAGGAAAAATGAGGGAGGAAGAGGTGGGGGGAGAAGGGAGGAGGTGGGGGAGGACGGAAGAGGGAGGACGGGAACCATGAGGACACACAAACGACGTGTCAATATCGGAAGCTCGAGCACCACAGCAGGCCCGGCCACCTCCCTCGACCCCTCGCCTAACGTGTGGTTGCTCGGGCGCCACAGCGGGCCTGGCCATTTCCCAGAAAGCCTCCCATAACAGAAAACTGCTCGAACGCCACAGCGGGCCCGGCCAACTCCCGCATCTCCTCCACTACAGTGCGGGCGCGGCCGCAAGAAACCCTCGCAAGAAACCAAACCCTGAGAACACGTGCGCGAGGTGCACCTGAGGGGAAACCTGGAGCACCCTGAACGCAGCAGATCCTTCAACGGCTGCGGAAAGTCGTCGCGAAGCGCGAGGAGCGAAGAAACCAAGGGTACCCTGACGAAAAACATATGGTTTCTTGATGCGCGCCCCCACTGTAACATATGGCACGCCCCAAGCCGAAGGTAGCGCTACATGTATCTGCTCACCTGAACAGCACGTCGCTTCCATCCTCTGGGGCTCAAGAGGAGAATCTCTCGGCCTGCGGAGGTAAGGGGGGCGCAGGGTGGCCGAACCCAAGCGCGCAAGCAACTCTATCGCGTCGCGCTCGGCGATCGGGGGGGCTCCGGTGAACCCACATCACAGGTCACTCCAGCGAGAAATCACTTTACATGCACAGACATGTCACGCTCTGATTTTTTCGATGCGCGGTTTCCGGAGTCCCGACCCCTTCCCTGCAGGGGGCTGGTTTTTCAGCCTGAGTGGTCTTTTGACGGTCCCAGGGCCCGGCGAGGGCCCCCGGAGGCTGAAAACTGTCAAATACCTCCCGTCGTGATTTTGTAGCGACGCGATCATGCCTGGGCGTAGTCGACGAGCTCGCAAGACCACAATGACAACCTAAACACCCTCCGCCGCGTGTTGTTTGCCCACTGTTTTGGGGCGGCCAAGAGGGAGGCGTCCAAGAGGGGGGTGGGGGGGGGGAGGCGCAAATCATGGCCGGCGGCATGTGCGCGGCCCGGGGGGGGGGGGGGCAGGGACGTAGTGAAGTAAGAAGAGGCGCCATGAAATCTGCGGAAATATCATGGCCCACGCCAGGATATCCCGCCTTATAGGGGGGGGGGGGGGATATCATGGGGTGACTATAGTCACCCCCCCACTATAGGGGGGGTGACTGTAGTCACCCCCCCTCTTGGCCGCACCCGAACTGTGGCTCCCAGCAAGCCCGGACCATCCCCCGGGGCCGGCTCACCCCGAGCCATGCTGTGGGCGGCCCCTGGGCCCTGCGAGCCGGCGAGGGCCCCTGGAGGCTGAAAATCAGGAAAAGGCCGGCGAGGGCCCCCTGGAGGCCGAACATCGGCATCTGAACCGTCGTGTTGTGGTTGCTGCTGTTGCTGTTGCTGATGCTGTTGTTATGACTGTGGTTGTGGCTGTTGTTGTCGTCGTCGTCGTCGTTGTCGGTGATGGTGTTGATGTTGTTGTTGTTATTATTATTGTTGCTGTTGGTGTTGCTGTCGTTGTTGTTGTTGTTGATGTTGATGTTGTTGTTGTTGTTGTTGTTGTTGTTGATTTTCCGTTGTTGCTGTTGTTGTTGCTGCTGTTGCTGCTGCTGTTGTTGCTATTGGCGTTGCTGTTGCTGCTGCCGTTGTAGTTGATGTTGATGTTGCTATTGTGGTTGCTGCTGCTGCTGCTGTGGTTGTTGTTTGTTGTTTTGTTTCAAAAGCAAACATCCTGAGGGAGGATGTCGGCGATTTCGCACGACGAGCATGACGAACTCCGGACGTACCGTTGGCTCAGAGGGAGAGCGGGGCGCAATTTGTGTGTCCTTCGGCTTCTTGTGGATGATGCCCAGCAGAGCGTCGCAGACCATGTTGTACCGGAGCTCCCCTGAGCACCGCGTGCGGGCACAGAGAACACAATCTGCTGACGAACCATCGCCATCGTGCTACAGCACCAGATGTCGTGGGCCGGAGATGATGTCGTGGCGCGGAGATGATGTCGTGGCGAACGTCTTCTGGTTCGGCGTTGCGAAATTGGGCGGAAGGTAGGCTGAGAAATCCGCGCGGACCTCCGATTTTTTATGTGTATGTCATTGTTCGTTTCCCTAAGTAAGGGCCCGACCACACGAACCCTTCCGCAAGAAACTCCACCCTGAGACCCTAGGACGCCCACTGACGTCTGGTGTGGGAACATCGCGCCTTCCACAGCAGAGCCATCTTCACCCGAGAAGCCCAGGGCGCCCTGGAGGCAAGCAGCGTGTTTCCTGGGCATGTCCTCCACGGTGCCATGAGGGAGACAGGGACGGCGAGCTTCGCACACGAAAAGGTTCCCCGCCCGGGGCCCGAGGAACCGCAGGTTAGAACCAGAGCTCCTCTGGACCTGCACCCCAGCGGGGTCCCTCCTCCTCCTCCTCCTCCTCCTCCTCCTCCTCCTCCTCCTCCTCCTCCTCCTCCTCCTCCCCCCCCACTCCCTGGAGCGTGGAGCGCGCCAGAGGCGGCGCCAAGGGGTGTCCAGACGCAGATCCCAGAAGCCCGCGCGGAGCTCCAGAAGTTCTGGCGAATGCTGCCTTACTTCTGCGAGGGTATCTTTCACGACGCGAGGTGGTCTGGGCCTCCCAACTTTCGATCCTCGACCCTCGGAACTCGAGCGCGCCACGGCGCGTCGCCCAAGGCGCCGCCAGGGGGGCCCAGCGCAGACTAACAAAAATCCGCGCGGAGGCCCGCGAGTTGATGAGTCTTTTCTTAGTCGACCCGTGACAGCCGACGGCCGCCACCAAACTTCCAAGGGAGCCCCCCAAGACGGCCCGAAGACCTCCAGCAGCATCGCCGCCCCCGAGACGGCTCGGGGACCTGACCAGTACCCCGACGGACGGCCCAAGGTGGGACGCAAAAGGACCCAGTCAGAGTGAGGGGGCCGAACGATCTTACACCATCCCTGGGGGCTCAGGTGAACCTGGTGACCCGGGATTCCGTGGTCCACATTCTGCTTGTCTGTTGTTTGTTGTTTGCGTTGGCTGCAAAACTTTGAAAATGCGGCTCACGCTCGAACGCGGACTACCTTCCAAATGTGAGTACTTAGCACCCAAACTGCAACAATAATTCCCATCCGAGACTTCCATGCATTTTACTCAGTAAATGCGCTCTCGTCTAAAGCTTTGCTCAGAAATCTCGACGCCCTTTCTACAACAACAACAGCAACAGCAACACCAACAACAACAACAACAACAACAACAACAACAACAACATCAACTACACAACAACCACACCGACAACAACAACAACAACAACAACCAACCAACAACAACCACAACAACAACAACAACAACACCACCTACAACAACAACAACAACAACAACAACAACAACAACAACCACAACCACAACAACAACAACAACACCACCAACAACAGCAACAGCACCAACAACAACACCAACAACAGCAGCAACAGCAACAGCAACAGCACCAGCACCAGCACCAACAACAACACCAATAACACCAACAAAACTACCACCACCAAGTCCAACACTAACACCACTAACAGCATCAGCAACAACAACAACAGCAACAGCAGCAGCAGCAGCAACAACACCAAACATCAATATAAGACTGTTCGCTCTCACCTGCGCGCGTGCCATTCAACACGTGTATCCCAAACCCGCCCTCTTCGTCTTCGATCGTAACCCAGTTCGGGGTATATCTTTCTTACCTGCAACGTGTATTTCGTGCAGCCCTTAAGTTAAGGGAAGAGAGAATGGATGGAAGGAAGGGGCAAGTAGGAGGGAGGAGGATGGAGCGCGAGAAAAGGTAGCAGGAGGGGGGCTGGGAGCAGAAAACACGTGGCAGAACCAGACGGGCAGATCGGGCGGGCAAACCCTAGCGGGCGGGTCGGGAAGGCGGGCCCAAGCGGCCAGGTCGAGCAGGCGGGTTGCTGAAGCGGGCGTCCTGCATAAGTCGCGAGGAAGTCTCGAGCGACAGCGCGATTCCCAAATAAATCGCGAGGAAATCCACAGCGAGAGCGTGATTCCTGAGTGTCGAGGGCGCGGCGTCGGAATCAATTGTCAGGAAATCCCACGCGAGAACGCGATTTGGGAATACATGGTGGGGAAGTATCCGGCAGGAGCCGTTGTTGTTGCAGCTCGGGGCCCAACATCCCAGTTTGGTGACACCCAGCCTCCCATCGTAATAAACAGGGTGCGAGCCCCGGGAGAAACACTTAATTGAACAAATGCCATGGTTACCAGGGATGGGGATCAACAGCACTTCCTCTTTCGAAATGAAAGCTAACAACAACAATACCAACAACAATCATTTTAAGACTGTTCGCTCTTATCTGCTCGCGTACAATTCAACACGTAAATCCCAAACCCTCGATACCCACTTTCTTCGTCTTCGATCGTACCCGGTAAGGGTACATCTGGTTTACCTGCAGCGTATCTTTCGTGCATCTCTTAGGGCAGGGAAAGAGAGTACGGATGAAAGGAAGGGACAAGTGGGGAGGGAAGAGGATGGAAGACGAGAGAGTAGCAGGAGGGGGGCTAGTAGGGGAGCTGAGCTGGATAATACCGCTCGACGAATTATGTTGGTGAGGACCTTTGTCTTCTCCGGGTGTAGTTGGAGTCCCACGGGCGCTGCGTTCTCTCGTGGGTCTCCAGAAGATTTCGGGGGGAGACTGAGGAATCTGCAGGAATGCGGAGGAATCTCAGGGGATCCTGTGGAATCCCCTGGGATCCTGAGGGATCCTGGGGGATCTTGAACAATGCTCGGGGATCTTGGGGGATCCTCAGGGATCATGAGGGCTCCAAACAATCCAGGACACTCCCGAAGTATCCTTGGGGATCCTGAATAATCCTACTGAATCCACAAAAAGGGTCCTGGGGAATCCTGAGAATCCTGGGGGGTCCAAAGGAATTCTGGAGGAGACTGAAGAGCCCCCGGGAATTATGAGGGATCCCGGTGGGGGGGGTAGAAGTCGAATCGCCCCCCCCTGCGAAACTCACCACCTCATTCTCCGCCCTGCTTCTTCTCGTGTTCCCCTCCCTCCTTCGGCCCTTCCTCCCTCCCTACCTCCCTCTATGCCCTCTTTTTGTTTCTCTCTCTTTCTCTCTCTTTCCTCGTCGTTCTCGTCGCACGGCGGTTGTTTTCCCTTCAATGTGAGCCCTTCTCAGTTGAGACCTGACTGATGGTGGCGGTGCTCATGGGGGGGGGCGGGGGGGGGAGAAACCAAACAACGATTCCGATCTCCTCCCCTGGAGGAGGAGGAGAAGGAGGAGGAGTTCCCTTCCGAGTGGCTACCAAGGATCCTTCACCAATGGAATCGTACCCGATAGCAAAAGAAGCACGCTACAACTAAAGTGCTATTACAACGCTGCCACAATACTTGAATACTACTTCCACAGTGGGGCCTCCGCATAACTACAATATTAGACTACTCCTACAGTGCCAGGCATCAAAAATAGTGCTACAGCACGACCGCACGCCTACTACAGCCAATACTAGAATACGACTGCTAATGTAGCAATAGAATCGTGCTACTGCCAACATACTATTGACAACTGCTGCATTGCGAGAGAGCTACCACTACAGTGCTACTACACTACTACTAACATTACTACAGCACGTGGGTGCCACACCAACGCTGCAACACTAAAACCTAATTGAAATACGACTGCATCCAGCATCCGGGCAAACGATGTGTGCTTCAGTACTGTAATACTACGACTACTACTACAAGCCCGCAGCAGTACGACTACAGCACTGAACTCTTGTAGCACTGCCACTACACCACTAGGAGTGCGACTGCTACAGCCAGTACAGAGGAACAACTGCTGCTACAGTACAAGGGTACTGTTACTACGTCTGTACTACTACAGCGCTGTTACATATGCTGCGCTGGTGAGAGTGCTACTACTACTACTACTACTGCTACTACTACTACTACTACTACTACTACTACTACTACGGCTACGACTACGACTACGACTACGACTACGACTACGACTACTACTACCACTACCACTACTACTACTACTACTACTACTACTACTACTACTACTACGACTACGACTACTACTACTACTACTACTACTACTACTACTACGACTACGACTACTACTACTACTACTACTACTACTACTATTACTACTACTACTACTACTACTACTGCGACTGCGACTACGACTACGACTACGACTACGACTACTACTACTACTACTACTACTACTACGACTACCAATACGACTACGACTACGACTACGACTACGACTACTACTACAACTACTACAACACCTACTACTACTACTACTACTACTACGGCGCGCATTTTAGTATATCAATACTAAGAGTGGTGCTGCACTACTAGTGTACGATCAACTCAGAGGATGTCCAAATGCTAAAGCCAATTCTCGACTATTACGACTACACCTGCTACAGCCAGCGCCAGAGTACTTCTACTACAATGCACTGCTACTGATACTACTCGATCCCCACTGCATACTGCATTCGTGGTACTACATCCAGTACTAAGAGTACGATTGCTACCACACTACCAAGACTGCCAATACCAACGCGTGGCTGAGGCAGTACGTCTACTACAATGCTAAAGAGCACTTTAAAAACGACTACGGCTACGACTACGACGGCGACTACGACTACGACTACGACTGCGGCTTATACTACTACTACTACTACTACTACTACTACTAGTAGTAGTAGTAGTACTAGTACTCGTACTAGTACTAGTAATAGTACTACTACTGCTACTGCTACTGCTACTGCTACTGCTACTGCTGCTGCTACTACTACTACTACTACTACTACAACAACAACAACTACCACTACTACTGCTGCTACTACTACTACTACTACTACTACGGCTACCGCAACAACAACAACAACTACTACTACTACTATTACTACTACTACTACTACTACTACGACTACTACTACTACTACGACTACTCCGACTACTACTACTACTACTGCTACTGCTACAACTACTGATGCTACTACTACTACTACTACTGATACTACTGCCTACTACGATTACTACTACTACTACTACTACTACTACTACTACTACTACTACTACTACTACTACTACGAGTACCACCACCACCACCACTTTTTCTACCTCTTCTTCGACGACGGCTACTATTATTACTACTACTACTACTACTACGGCTACGACTACGTCTACGACTACGACTACGACTACGACTACTACTACTACTACTGCTACTACTACTACTACTGCTACTACTACTACTCTTACTACTCTTACTACTCTTACTACTCTTACTACTCTTACTACTCTTACTACTCTTACTACTCTTACTACTCTTACTACTCTTACTACTCTTACTACTCTTGCTACTGCTACTACTACTACTACTACTAGTACTACTACTACTACTACTACTACTACTACTCGCGTTTCTACGATTACTACCAACGGCTCCCACTACTTCTACAACTACTACTACGATTAATACTACTTCTGCGAGTAGAATACACGTACAGTGCGACCGTACTTGAGTGCTACTGCAATACCATTACAAGCAAGGCTCACAAACAAGTCTCCAGCTCAAGATTTCCCAAGTGCGTGTTTGTCGGAGTGTGTGAATGTGTGAATATACTGTGTTTGCATCAAATACTGATGCTGATGGTCGTTATCACTATGGCGTTACTGATGAAACTGTTGACTGATGGTGATGGTGGCGATGGTGACGAAGCTGGTGACGTCGGCGGTGATGGATCTGGCGATGGTGGTGATGATGGCGATGTTGGTGCGTATGATGAGGGTGCTGATGATATTATGTGCGTGTTTGTGTTGATGCGGATGATGGTCGCAGTAAGAGGATTGCATGTGGCTGTGCATAAGGGGAATATTGCGATAATGATGGTGGTGGTCATGCTGTCGCGACTGTGGGTGTGTGAGAACGACAGTTATGAGTGAAGCCAGAAGAGATGAGATGCTGTGAGGCGCTCCTGCTCGGAGGTGTCCGGACAACTCAACAACTTCGTGATGTGAGGACCAACCTCCGTCGTGCTCTTACAGCGAGTCTGCGCGCATCATTATCAACAGGTTCTCTTCGTGGCCCTGGGGAGCTTCTCGCAGAGGCTCAGTCCGAGTCGACGGCGTCCCTGCACCAGGCGGCGACAATGCGATTCCGTGGTGAACGTCAGGGGCGACCAACGAGCGCAGAACGTCGAGAAGCCTGGGCCCTCAAAGCTCGACGACCCTCGAGGACGAGGGGCCACGCAGGGGGGGACGAAGGCCACATAGGGGCCACGTAGGGGGGGACGAGGACGAGGGGCCACGTAGGGTTTTTTTTGCAATCCTTCGTTCAAGGGACGTAGGGTTTTTTTTGCAATCCTTCGTTCAAGGTTTTTTTTTGTTACAATCCTTCGCTCACGGGGGTACACGTCGAACTGGAATCAGCCACGTGTCGCCGACCGATCGGCGATAGGCCCCCGATAGCGAACCCGGGCCGCCCGCGGCGGGTTGGGCCATCGGGCCCCCACCAGCGATCAACGGCGATTGGGCCTCCCTGAGCCTGTCTCCCCCGAACTTGCCACGGGTGCATGGGCCACGCCACCAATGGAGCACCTAAGAACAACGAAAGCATATAAGACGACGAACGCAAGATCTGCCCGTCATCAGAACAAGGCTGCCACTGGGAACCATCATCCAGAGCCTGCAGGGACCCAAGGAACCACCTGAGAGGCCTCCAAGAGACTTGGACAAAAAGGCGCCCCACAGTACTCCAGAACATGCTTCCAACAGGCGGTGGGTCTACCCCAAAATGCTTCCAAAGACCCCGACTGGCCACCAGTCGGGGACGCACTGACCCAGGTCAACCCAGACCCAGGTCAATCAGGCCTTGCAGGGTCCTGCAAACACCTGCAAGATCCTGCACCCAAACCCGGGTCAGTGCGAAGGATCCTGCAAATCCTTCAGGATCCTGCATCCAAACCCGGGTCAGTGCGAAGGATTCTGCAAGATCCTTCAGGATCCTGCACCCAAACCCGGGTCAGTGCGAAGGATCCTGCAAGATCCTGCAGGATCCTGCTCCCAAAAACCCGGATCAGTGCGACCCTGGCCCTGCAGGATCCTGCAAGATCGGGCGCTCTGGCTGACCCCCGCTTGCAGTGACCCCCGCCTCAAGGCTCCCAGACAGACACAGACACAGTCCCGCACGAAGGCACCTACGCGGGTGCAGCGGGTGGGCGCCGGGGCGCCGATGTTGGCCTCTCAGCCTCTGGAGTCGACTTTGGGCAACCGCAGTCGGAAGAATGGGATCGATCTTCTGAGGCGGAATCGGAGAGGACGTAGGGTCGGAGAGGTACATGTACTCCAGATTTCGTAATAAAAGCGAGGGGGTCTGGACCCTCCAAGACAAGCCATTTCAGACCTCCCCCGTGGGAGAACCCTCCAAAACATCGTCCCCAGACCCCCCCAGGCCCTCCAAGATGGCCTGGAAGAGACCCCCCCCGAAATGAGACCCCCCTCCCTTCATTACGAAATCCGGAGTAGGTGGTGAGGTCGGAGCCGGAGGTCCAAGTGGGGGGCCGCCCGCCCGGGCGGCCGCCTTCGACGATGCGCGGGCAGAAGCGCTGGTCCACCAGCTGGCCGCCCTTGGCCTTCCCTGCGCGGCGCGCACGGGGGGGGCGGGGCGGAGCGCGGGCCGCACTGGTCCTCCCTCCCTCCTTCCTTCCCTCCTCCTCCTGCACGCACGCGGCGCCCTGGGGAGCTGAAGTTCGCGCTCCCCCCTCCCCTCCTGGGGCTCCCCCCTGAGGAGGAGGAGGAGGAGGAGGAGGAGGAGGAGGAGGAAGAAGAGGAGCCCCCCTCCTCGTCGCACGTTCTGATTGCCCACCCACGTTTCCCCATGGTCAGGGTGCCCCGCCCGGGCGCGCGTGGGGGTGGGGGTGGGGGCCGCCTGCAGGAAGGCACAGAATCGAATCGACAAGTCGGATCGGCGATCGAAAAGAATCGAATCGGCGGACATCGGCAGCCGAGTTGGGAAAAGTCGAATCGGCGGACATCGGCAGGCTAGGTGCCCTCCATTGACAAACTCGAGTCCCAATCGAAATCCGGAGTCGAGTCGAATCGGAAGCCGTCGAGGTCGAACCGAATCGCATCGGGGGAATCGAAACGAGCCCTGGGTGGGGGAGGGTCGCCTGCGGGCGGCTCGTCGGGGACCTCCGCCCGTTCTTAACCATTCCCCGTCCTGGTGTGCGCGGGGGTGGGCAGGTCTCGCGCGGGAGCGGCGACCCACATAAGCGGACTGGGGCGGCACCGTCCGCGGGCGTGCCGGTGTCCGAGGACGCAGCTCGGAGATGGTCGGGTGGCGAGGCCTCGCAGGGGCGCGAGCGGAGAGGCGCCGCGCAGAGAGTGCCTGCGAGTCTGCTGGCGTCGAGTACCCCCTGCTGTCTGAAGGGCGGAGCGCCTCCCACAGCAAAACCCTCGAAACCCGAGAAACGAAGGGCACCCTGGAGGCAAGCAGGGTGCTTCTTGGCTTTCTTTCCAGAGAAACTCAGGGCACCCTGGAGGCAAGCTCAAAATTGCTCCACAGACCCACCAATCTTTTCCCGAGCTGCGTTCAGCCCTGGCGACGAGGATCCCCCCCACCCCCACCCCCGAAGGCCAATACGACCGTTGTCCAACTCGCCCTCCCATGACCCCTCGAAGCCGTGCTCCCGACGGACCTCCTCCCCACCACGACGCGCGGACCAAAGTGTGTCTCTTGGCATGGGCCTCCCCTGCAGAGGCCTAGGTCGGGCATGCCCCCCTCCCTGAGCATCCGTTGCCCTCAGAAAACTAAGGTTAAGTTAAAGTTACGGATCTGCCGGTCAACATCATGAAAGTTAAGGGTAAACGCCCGCAGAACTTAAGGAAATCTAAGGGTATTTGCCCACAGAATCTAGGGGTAATTGCCCACAGATTGGTTTGGTAGATTTTTGGTAGATTTTGAAATCTACTAGTAGATTTTTAAAATCTACCAACTGTCTTGGGAATCAGTTACTTCTCACTCACCTCCTCCCAATCCCCATCCTCTTCCTACTCGCGCTCCTTCCACGACGACGACTGCCCCGAGGCCGACGATCCGCGTGAGGGGTGCGCCGAAAGGGGCGGTTAGGGTGTTTGGGTGCTTCCCGCGGCTCCTTGGGAGTCGAGGGGGAGCTGCAGTCTTGGGAATCTTGGGATACCCAGAGCACGCGAGAGCTAGATTTTGAAAATGAGACCAGGGCGTCATCCTCCTCCTCCTCATCATTGACACCATCATTACCAGCGTCGTCATCGCCCTTGCTGTCCTCGTTCGCTGGGTGGCGGCCGTGACGCCTCGTTGTCGTCGTCGTCGTCCTCGTTAGCTGGGTGGCGGCCGTGACGCCTCGTCGTCGTCGTCGTTCGCTGGGTGGCGGCCGTGACGCTTCGTCGTCGTCGTCGTCGTCGTTCGCTGGGTGGCGGCCGTGACGCCTCGTCGTCGTCGTCGTCGCCGCCCGCCGCCGCCCGCGCCCGCCCCTCCCCCCGCGTATTACGTGATCATATTCAGGACGCAGGCCAAGCGGCGCGTGCCACCCCCTGAGGATGAGGAGGAAGAGGAGGAGGAAGAGGATATGGAGGAGGAGGAGGGTAGGTGAGGGAGGGCCAGGGCGTCTGTGTTTTTGTTTGTTTGTTTCTTTCATGTTTTCGGCCAGGGCTATTATGGGCTACAGTCAAGCTATTGAAATAAGGCCCACTTCGAGGTCGGAAGGGGCTCGGTCGTTCCTTAGGTTGTCAAACTCGTCCTTTGGATTTGCATATTCGTTCCCAGGGGAAAAAAGTGGCTTCGTTCCTTATTTAGCGTTCCCTCTGGCCGTGCCACGACTGTATTGGGGTTCCTGTAGGGCCCGATGGGGCCTTGGGAAGAATCTCATAAGCCTCGTGTCCCACGCGGGCCCGCGGATTGATTGGGTTGGTTGGCTGATTGGTTGGGCTGGTGGGCAAGCCTCCCCCTCGTCCGTCCTCACCTCCCCCTCCGTAGCCAATTTGGCTCAAGTTCGAGGCGTGATTTGTTGTTCTTCACCTTAACGCTTGGTTTCAACTCGACCGCCATGGCGGGCTTGAAGAGGGACAGGGCCGTGGCGAACCCTGAGGTCTCGGATCGCGACTACACGGAGTGTATCGAGGAGTTCGTGAAGAACACGGCTCTTCACCATCTGCTGGGCCCTCGCCTGGCGACCGCTTTGCACACGGTCAGTCCGAACATGGTCGTCCGTTTGTGCCCGTTGATCGAGGCTCTCATCAAGAGGGGCGCCAAGAACGGCGTCATCTATCCCGTGAGATTTGAGGCGTGCCTCAGGGCGACTTGCCCGCAGTTCCCGAAGGAGTACAATGCGGCCGCATTCATACACAAGGCCACTGAGCACTTGCGCCACTCGCTGGCCATGTTGAGGGAGATGAAGAGGGAGGAGAAGCCTGGTGCTGCAGCCAGCAAGAGGAGCAAGACGGGCGCCTTCAGGCGAAACTGCAATTCGGCAGACGTTATCATCATCAAGGGGCTGCTGGAGAAGATGAGCGACGACTCCGTAGCCGAGGACCCGCCTGTCCCGCCCCTTTTGGACGACGGTGGCGCCCAGGAGGCTGGCGGTCACCACGGGGTCCACATTCCGACGCTGCAGTTACCCAGCGCCAGTGACGTGGACGAGGATGGCTACCCGACGATCTTCAAGAAATCCGCGTCCATCCTGGCTCTGATCAGCAATCGGAGCGCTGAGTCCAACTTGTCTGGTCCCGCGCCCTCGCTGGCGAGCACAGCCGTCTACGACGAGCACGGGTTCCCCTCATTCGTCAGCCTTCGGACGCCTGTCCGACAGACTTCGGGACATGGAGGTGATGACGGAAGCGAGGATGAGGACAGGAGCTCAGAGGATGAAGATTGCGTCCTGGACCCCAAGCCGAAGCGCCGCAAGCAGAACGCCGTTGGCGCCAGGCCCAAGAGCAAGGCGCAGGGCAAGGGCAAGGCGCAGGGCAAGGGCAAGGCGCAGGGCAAGGGCAAGGGCAAGGTCGACGCATCCGGTGCCAAGGCGACCCCCCCGATGAAGGCCGCGAGGCGCGGGCTCGCCGTGACTCCAGATAAGAGCGTCTTCCTGTGCCGTCCAAGCATGAGTGGCCCCACGAAAGAGGCCAACTCGCGGTGCGAGCTCGTCGCCCATCAGCCCCAGGAGGACGGTTCCATGAAGAAGGTGTGCATATGGACGGCGCGGGTTAAGATCTACGGGCCGAACCTCGAGACTGACATGAGAAAAATATACGAGAAGATCAAGGACGGCAACATGACCAAGCCGATGTGTTTGGAAATGAGAGACTCCTTCCAGTAGGGAATCGTGTAGAATGACGGGAGGAGGAGGAGGAGGAGGAGGAGGAGGAGGAGAAACATTCTGCATGTCCAAGCTCGGCTGTCATCATGCGCTAGCGCCTGGGGTGGCGCGATGTGGGAGCAGCACGGCCGACTGCACCAAGAATAGTATGGCAACGCACCCGACAGAAAAGCTTCAAAACAAAATCTACGTGGTGCAATCTACGTGGTGCAACCAATGCGGTGCAAGTACAACCTCCGAAACGCAACCTACGTGGGGCAATCTATGCGGTGTAAGCTATGTGGTGTAAGCTATGCGGCGCCATTTGCGTGGCACAATCTATGTGGCGCAATCTATGTGGGGCGAGCTATGTGGTGCAATCTATGTGGAGCCATCTACGTGGCGCAATCTATGTGGTGTAAGCTATGTGGGGTGAGCTATGTTGTGCAATCTATGCGGTGCGATCTACGTGGTGCAATCCACGTGGTGCAAGCAAAGGTGGTGCAATCAATGTGGTGCATTCTTTGCGGCGCAAGTCGTTCGCGGCGCGGCGTCGGGGGGGCCCCAGAGAATCTCGGGGGAGGGGGAGGGCCGACGTAAACCTTCCCCGATTCCCGCCCCTCCCCCCGCTTTCTTCTTCCACGTCGCCATAGTTGCTTTGGATCAAGCAAGATTCGAGAGCGACTCCATCGACGTTCGGCCTTCTTTGCGAGCCGTCTCGCTGGCGATGGCGGTCGCCAAGGGGAAGGCGAAGCCGAAAACGAAGGCTAAGGCGGCCCCACTGGCCGGCAAGCCTGCTGCTGCGCAGACGGCGGCGAAAAGGCCCGCGGCCGTCACTTGGCACGAAGAGCAGCTGGTCCCCGCGGCGAAGGCGGTCAAGTCCACGAACGAGGGCTCCGACGCGGAGGACCTCGAGGACGGGGATGCGGACACCCGCCAGACCTCTCGGGCCCAGAGGTACGTGTTCGAGGCGAACCTGGACCAGGTCGCCGAGGCCGACAAGGCGTTTTACCTGACGCTTGGCCGGAAGGACTGCGTTCACCCTGGGAAGATGAAAGAGCGGGCCAAGATCGTGAACGCGTACGTCAGCCGCGATGCTACCTACACGAGCAAGCTCACACCGAAGGAGCGCACGCTCGAGCACATCACGGCCCGCACGGTCGAGAGGAACAACGAGCAGCAGAAGCAGGGCCTCACGAAGAACGTCATGATCGGCTCGAAGTTCGGAGCCAGCAAAGAGCTGTTCCAGGCGGCACTCGATGACAATGAGATTTGGGAGGAAGACGGGCTCTACTACTCTACGTCCAAG